CCATATCTAAGTAGTAAATCATTGTTACTATCGTCTTTTATATAAAGTTTTATTGAATTAAATTCATAAAATTTTAATGCTACAAAATGTTTAATATCAAAATCAAATTTCATAAAATCATCTTTTTCGTTTATTGCTGTGGGTATGACACGTAATAAATTTAATTTACTATTATTATAATAAGATTCTTCTATTATATCACAATATATGTGAAAATAATTAATAGTTTGAGAGACTTTAATTGGCTGCACGTCAGTTACAAAATGTTTCATGTCATCAATGTTAGTGCGTAATATATTCAATTCTGATTCAGGACTTTTTTTTAATATATTTAAACCAGTATTCATATTTGCAATATTGTATTTGCTAAATCCTAGCAATTTTTTTAATTTTACATTAAATTCTAAATAATATATACCTCTTAAATTATAATATTTAAATGTTTTATATTTATCTGTTGGAGCAATTATTTCACTAGTTATTGGTATATATGGATCTTTTATATCAATAGCGAAATTTCCATTTTTTAATTTATATATATGTTTTTCATATGAAAATTCAAATGGATTTATAATCCATTTTTTGTTTAAATCACTAGGTTCGCAGTCTTTCATATATAATATTTCTTTATATTTTTCGTTAATTAATTTCTTAGCTTTTAAGTTTAAATCACTAATCAACTCTTTCAAATTTTCTCGCCAATGTTTAGTTGTTGAGTGATTTAATTTTATCTTTTCAGTGTAATGGTTACCATATTCATACTTTTCATTTTCTAGTACTTTAATAGAATTTACTGTTTTATCTGTTGTTTCAAGTAAATCTGTTACAGAATTTACTACATCGATTTCATCTTCTGATATATCCATTATCCATTTTAAATTAAAAGTTATTTCCAAATCACTTAATAATTCCTTTTGATCTAGTTTTTTAGGAATTATCAATTCTGCTAAAGCACATTCCATGGGCACATTGTATTTTATTGTTTCATTAAAATTTACATTTAGCTCACATTTATCACTATCATTTGTTAAATGAAAAATTTGATTTTCGTTTTCTCTGAAATAATCCATTTTTAATTAATTTTTATTAATTCTTTAGCATAATATGACCCGCGTATATTTGTACCAAATTTGTCACGCACTTTGTATTTATAATATGGTGAAGTATTTAAAATTTTAGCTATAGTAAATATTTCTGTACTATAATTTTCTAGATATCCTTTATCAAATATATTTCTTAGTAACTTAATTTTAACTGTATCTCCTAGTTTATATACTTGCTTTTCTCTAACTATAGTTGTATGATATAAATTATTATAAACAGTTTTTTCATTTTCATTATTGACATCAATTGGTTTGAATTTTGTACGACTATGTACTGTATTATTATATGTTAAAATAATATTATTCAAAACATTAATAAAATTATCAGTTTTATTATAAAACAAATATTTTTGAATTTTTTCTTTTATTGTTCTATTCCAGCGTTCAACTGTTCTAGCTTTAGATGTGTCGCGTAATATTAAATGTTTAATTTTTCTCCATCGCAAATATTTTTTTAATTTTTTATTTGTAAATTCTTTTCCTGCATCTGTAGACAATAATATTGGTTTACGCTTAGATGATTTTATTATGTAAATTATCGCTTTTTTTACTACATCAGCATTTTTATATTTCAATGGTATAGCCCATCCATATTTTGATAAGTTATCAATAATCATTAATATATAACGATAATTATTATTCGATTTTGGTTTTGTTATTTCAATAAGATCTGCTTGCCAATTATCATCAATATGTTTAGACACAATTGGATTACGTTTAAAATTAAATTTTGGATATCGATGAACTGTATAAGTCGATTGATTTAGAAGCCATTGTTTAACTTGTTTCAATGTTATTTTAGAATAAATGTTTTTAACATATTTATAAAGTTTAAGAGGTGTACTAAAACTTGAGTGATATTTTGTATTATAATAATATTTATTTAATATATGATTAATATTTTTCCCAATTAATGGCTTGTCTAACATTTTTAGGGTACTTAGCACGTATAACTTTAGAACGAAAACTTGCTGGTGTTTTCATATGTTCTTTATATTTATCTTTTTTAACTAAATTTGTATTTTTTGGGGATATATCGACTCGTTGGGATCGTAGATCTTTTATAAATGATTTTACTTTTAAAATTTTTTTTAAACTTTTATCATTTGTCTTATAATTTCTTTTAAATAATCCTTTAGGTGTTATGTTTAAATTTTCATCTCGTTCTTTTAATTTTTTTCTAGGTGCTTTAAAATTGTAAGTATATTTTCGTTTATTTTTATTTATAACTGGTGTAATGTCACAATCTGCATCAATTTCTTTAAATTTTGGAGTTTTAACTTTTGGAGTTTTAACATTTAATAAATCTTTATGTTTATCATCATTATCGTCTGATTTCGAAGCTATAACAGCACTTGTTATATCAAGGCATGCTTTTTCTTCTGTTTGATCGATATTATTTTTAAATATCAAAAATTTTCTAAGAGCTTCTGCATATAACTTAGCTTTAATTCTTTCATTAATATTACTTGATAATATTGATTCAATTTCTCTATCTAAATCATTCATTACAAGAAAATTTTTTGGTGTTTGATATTTAACTATATTATTTAAATCACTTTGATGTTTGTTTTCGCTTTGAACAATTTGCATTTTTTTGAAACTCATTGTATAAATATTTTGATATTAATCGTAAGGCAGAATTAATTAATATATTTAATAATATATTTCCTCCTTTTTGTCTTAAATATTTTTTTCGTTTATGAACAGAAATTTTAGTTGTAATTTTTCTTAAAAGTTTTTTATTATTTTTCAGTTTTTTGAAATCACAATTTTTTATTGGTAAATTTCCTCTTAAACAATTTTTAGCTATTTCCGATATTGAATTTATTACACAAGGTTTTGCTTCTTTTATTAGTTTTTTTTGTTGTTTTATAGATTTTGTATCAAATATCTGTTTTAATGATTGTTCACAATTTTTTATATTTTTCAATTTATTTTGATTTAACATAAATAAATTTTGGTTCTTCATTTGGAAATATATTAGTACGAACTCTTAAATCACTTGATGTGTTTTGATGAAAATCTAAAAACAAATAACTATATGGTTTATTTTTTGTTGCGTCTATAAAGCTATCATATATAAATTTTGAATTATTTGCATTTATTTGTGAACTTAGAATTTTAATTTGTAATGTTTCACGTGGATTACTCATGAGAACAATATATGTACTATTTGTTGAAATATCTCTCATATATTTACTTTTAGGAAATAAATTTTGTATTAATAAAATAACAGTAATGTTTTTATGATGACTTAATTTTGTAAACAAATCACTTACAAGTAAATCATTAGAAACGGTGTGCATACAATCATCTAATACAATTAAATTGTTATTGTTAGAATCAAGGTTATTTATTATATCATTATTAATAGTATTTAATTTAGTTATTTTAACACCATTAATAGATTCATAGTTTGAAAAGCCTTGAGTTGAACAATAAATTATTTTGTCAAAATGCACACCAAATAACTCATATAAATATTTAAATAAATTTGAAACAAAAGTTGTTTTACCACTACTTGAAGGACCACATATTAACATACGTGATGCGTGTGTTAGAGTTAAATCATACATATTTTTATTTTATTTATTTATAAAAAACAATATATATTTTTGATTGGTTGATCAAAATAAATTTATTCTATATAAAAGAGAAATTTAAGAATTATTTTCATAATAAGTTTAAATAATGGCTATGCTAACTGTTTCATTTTCTGATATTAGATTAATAGTATGTTCATTTGGTTATAAATTTGATAGTGAATATATATTACGTGAAATTGGCTACTGGTCTACTACATCTAATGGGATAATTCCGTTTAACAGTAGATTTAATAAAAATACAATTGATATAACAAATCAGTGTTTAATAAATTATTATGAATCTGAAGTACATGGAATAAAATTTAGTCGTAAATTTGATTTAGGATTAACTATTAGTGATATAAAACCTGTTTTACGTGCATTATACCATTCAAATGATAATAATACAGCAAAATTTATCGGTGTTTGTGGTGATGATAACATTAAATCATATTTATATAAAGCAGGCTTAGGACAATTTACAATTGATTTGAATCAATTATGTGAACTAAAACTTACAAATACAGTTTGCCCAACAAATACTGAAATTCAATCAAATTATCTAAATATAGAAAAATATAAAAATATTTGTTATCTGCATGATCGAATAATTGGCAATACATTGCCAATTTGTGCTAAAGTAAAAGCAAATATTTTAGCTGATTTTTGTCAAAATATATTAAATAATAATTTAGATGTAAGTGAATTTCTAAAACAAAATATAGTGTAGAATAATATGCTTGAAAATGTCGACTTTAAAATTTAATCCAGAAATTTGTTTAAAAAATTTATATAAATCTGAACATATTAAAGCTATGGTAGAAACTATCGTCTCTGAAGATTTTGATTATTCAATAGAATATTATAAAAAAGAGTTAAAATTATCAAATCAAAAATTATTTGAAATGCTTTTAAATAATATTAATAAAGTTAAATACTTTGTTGTTCAATACGGATTTAAGTTTGAAACAATAAATGATTTAAATTATATTTTAAATTCAATTGAAAATTTAAAATATTATTTACCTAATAATATTAATAATTAATGTAAGTAATTTTTATTAAATATAGTAATATTTTTTCTAATTTAATAAAAATTATTTACAGATTAAATAAAGGAGACAAAATAATGCTTAAAATATTTATTAACCATAACCAAAAAATTAAAAAGATTATATAATGAAATGTAAAAATATAACATGTTATATTATAAAATTAAAAAAATAAATGTAAAATAAAATAAAATAATTGTAAAATAAAATAAATGTAAAATAAAAATTTGTAATTAAAATCCAAAAATCAAATCCGGTTAGTTAATGTCAGTAGATCCAAAGCCATCAGTATTTCTTATGGTTTCAGTAATTTTGCCACAATAGGGAACCAAATACTTCCAGTCCATAACAACAAGTTGTGCAATTTTTTGTCCTTTTGTAACTTCATACTGTTGTTTGCTATTGTTTATCATCAATACTTTTATTGTACCAGTAAAATCGTTGTCGATTACACCAGCGCCGATATCGATGCCCTTTAAAGCCAATGATGATCTTGGTAAAATATGTCCAAATGTATTTTTCGGTAGTTGTACTCGTAATCCAGTAGAAACCAATGATCTCGTATCAGGTAAAATTGAAATGTCATCAACAGAAAACAAATCCAAACCAGCTGATCCATATGTTTCTCTCACTGGTAAAAGTGATCCAAATTCAATGTTTACAATAAGTCTTTTTTCTATTAAAAAATAAATAAAAATTACTTAATATATAATTTATTTATGTGAATTTTAATAGTACCAGCACTAATCATATAAACGGGGTAATTGGATTTTAGTGCCTCAATAGTGCGTTCATCAACGGTTCTCAAAAAGTTGATATTATACGTTCCAATTAATTGATGTTTTGTTAGTATCAATGGGTTGACATTTGAGTTGTTACTTACACTAACTTTTATTATATCCGGATTACATTTTTCAATGAAAAATAACAAACATATAATTTTTTTATCTTCAATAGCCAAATTTTTTTGCACTTCTCCTATAGAATTGTATGGATAGTTATTAGTGTTTTTTACACTAATTAGTTTGCGAGTCATTGGTGGAATAATATAATCGTCTTCAGGCATTACATCAAATGAAGACTTTAAATTTGTAGTTTCCAATGTTCTATCGTCGTCAGCCATTTTTATAATGTAAATTGTAGATTTATTTCCTAGAATTTTTTTTATAATACATTTAATATTTTTTAAATCATAGTTTTGCTTTATTTTAAGATAGAATAATGGCCAAATGGCAAACAATTGATACCATCCTCCATAATATATACTTTATCATCCATTGGATGAAAAACAAATTTATTTATATTTACAGTATTAATTATATGATTTTTTGATTGAATACTTTTCATTTTTGTATTGTAATATTTGTTGAATAAAATTACATTTTTATAGTAATCATGATTTAAATATTTTTTTATAATAACTTTCTTTATTCCCTTTGCAACATTTTTATTATCTTTATCATTAAATAGCATTGAGTATAATTTGGGTTTTAAAGCAATAAATTCATTTAATATATAATGTCCATACTCGGCTTTCAAATATCCTATCATTTTTTTATGATTATTATTATATAAATAATGCTTATCATCAAAATTAGAAAAGTCCATTATAGGACTAAAATAATTTTTTAGCTCATCAAAATAAGCATTAGTTTTTATTTCATAAATAAGAGAATCTGTATCAGTGTACAAAAGCTGGATATTTTTATTATAAAATGGTTTAAATATTTTATAATGTAAAGAATACATATAATTTTTTGAAAGTTCTAATACTGAGAAACCAATATAAATTGGTTTATCTAATACAATATTAGATTTTGTTAATTTCATTAGAGCTAGATTATCATTAAGTATATGAAATGTTTCATAGTTTAAACTTTGTACATGTTTATTAGCTTGTTTTTCATTAAGAATTACTTTAATATCAATGTGTTTGCGTTTGTTTTCTATAGATTTACCAAAAACACTATTATTTAATAATTTATACAAATTCTTTTCAAACTCATTTTTACTATTTTGTCTTAACTGCGTATTAAGTAAAATATATGATTTAAAAAAATTTGTTTGTTTAAATTGTATACCTTTATTAATTTTTATTAATTCTAAACCTAATTCTAAATATAATTTTAAATTTTTAAAGTGAATTACATAATTATATTTATTGTTTAAAGTTAAAAGTAATTTATCAACAAGTGTTCGTTTATAACCATATAATCTTAGATTATTTAATAAATTTTTTTGATAATTGCTTAACTTATCATTTGATACTTTATCTTTTATAGGGGCCAATGGGAAATCTTTATGTATATCATGTAAATTAATTGGATATTTTAAATCAACATCTAATATATAACCAATATCATCATTAGTATCGATTGTTAACCAATTTATATTATTTAATATATCTTTATCAATCCATTTAAAATCAGATATTGGTAGTTTTTCTGATAAACTTTTTCCATATAAATTGTTTACGTCATAATGTGCTAAATATACATTAGGTTTAGACTTATCATAATCATGGCAAAATTCATTATTTGCTTTAGAATACCGTTTTACAACATTACACATACCACCCCTTATACCATTTTCTATAAAAATATACATATCTATATCAGTAATTAATTCTAATTTAACATTAGTTAATTTTAAAGCGGCATTCCAACTTAATCCTGGTATTGAATAGAAATGACAAGCATCTAATTCATATGTTTTATATATAGCTTTTCTAAACGTTTCAAATACATCTGCTAATAAACTTGTGTCTAATAGACAATAAAAATCTTGATAATTTCCAAGAGTCTTAAATTTAAACTTATGCCATATATCAACAGCTACATTATATTCAGATTGAGATACACTTTTCTTATTTAAACTTGAATAAAATAAATCTATAGAAGGCAAAGATTTATCATTTAATTTTTCAAATGTGTCTACATATTCATAAGGGTAGATTCCTTTTTTAAATAAAATATTTTTATCAAAACTTATATTTGAATAATAATCAGAAAAAATCTGGCTTGTTATTGAGAAATCATTATTTGAATTTTTTAGATCATTAACCAAGTTTTCAAGTTTATCATTTAAAAATAAAATACTATCTAAAACTTTTATATTATCTAACGTAAATGATATGAATTTTTCGAAACTTTGTGGTATTACTTTGCATTCGCTAAAATATTTTTTATCTATACTGGAAATAATAAAATGTGAATCATAGTTTTTTAGATTATGAAATAATAATGGGATTTTTTTTGGTACAATATATCTTAAATTACATGCATTATGAGCTGCACCTATATATTTTCCACTTAGATGACAGTGATTAAACACTTTATCATTTAATAACAATTGTTTACATAAATGACATTTTTTTTCTTTCATATGGATTTTATATTGTTTATCTGTAATTGACATTGAATTGTTTATACATAACTGTCCCTCTATTTTACTGGCAATATACGATAAGTTTTCTAAAAATACATTCATACAATCTATTCCATTATATACTTTATAATAAATTATTTCATTTGAATTTTTTATTGCTATTAAGCTAAACCCAGATGGCAAGTGATTTTCAGTTATAAATGTTTTATTGTTTATTTTTTTATTACTTTTACTAAGCACAGATTCAAAATCAGCATATAGAGTAAATGGGTGAAAATACATATACTCATATTTATTAAATTGTAAATATTTATTTTTTGGCATAGAAACACAACATGGCTTAAAAAATTTGCATTCACTATTATGTTGTTTTAATTTATACTTTGATCTGAAACCTATTAAACAATTCGGACAAAAATGATGATAATTTGATTTAAAATTTCTAATTAATTTGTTAAAATTTTTAATAAAATAAAAATGATTATTATAATATAATAATTTTACTGTATGTTTTGTTTTTCGTTTTGATATATAAATTGGATATATATTTGAATCGTTAATGTTATTAACTGGCTCAAAACAATATAAATTAATTCTAAAATTTAAATGTTTATTTAAAATTTCAAATTTTTTTATATCACTTAAAGTTATTGGAAAATTTATATTTGTAGTATTTAGATATTTATCGTATTTATTTAAAATAGATAGTCTATCAAAATGATAATTTTTTTTGTGTATATTATCTATACAATTTACTGCTAAAAAGCATTTTATTGACCATAAAAAACACTTATTATCTGTATTTTTTATATTTATTAATGCTTTTTTATTAGATAAAATATCAGGTAACTTATTAGTATAACACCCACCCTTAATTGGATTAAATTTAGCAAATCTGATATCTAATCTATTAATCTCATCAATAATCCAATCGCTTCCTATTGCCTCATAACTACTGATATTATAATCCATTTCATTAATTAATTCATTAAGAATATAATTAATATTTGTAAAAGTATTATAAACATAATTTTTTGATGTAAAATATGCTATTGTATATGTTTTGATACTATCAATTTGCTTATAAAAAGAAACTTGCAAACAAAATTGAATTTTTATAATATGTAAATTATTATGGATTATTTTAATTAAGTTTTTAATATCTTTTTTATAATAAATAAAAAACTCTTGACAACTAACAAATGATTGTTTAGGATATAATTCATATTGGGATAAAAAATTTTTAAAACTTTGTTTCGATAAAATAAATTTTGACTTAGTATTTAATTGCGGTGTTTGACGACCACCACTTTGTTGTTTTTTGTACTCAATCATTAAATGCTTTAAAAACCCATTTTTACTATTATACTGTTTATTACAGTTTTGACAGTTCACTGGTAATATTAATTTATTGCATTTATTTGAGTTATTAAATTATTATAATTATTAAAATTATTTAAGCAAAATTTGCAAAAATAATTAAAGTTATTATTATGTTTAATTCTGTGATGTTCATTGAAATCACGCATTGATGGAAAAACTTTTTCACAATAATCACATTTCAAATCAGTGTCTAAATATATTGGATAAGAAGACATGGCTGTAATTAACAAAAGAAATATTAAAAATTTTACAGTTTATTTAATTTTGTTATTACAAATTATATCATATATTTCAATTAATAACAATACTAATGATAATGGCAGAAAACCAATTGATTTTATACTAAAAGAACCTATCGATAATTGTTATCTAACAATACATAATTTAATTTCATTCAATGTTAGTTTAGATAAAAACAATTTATCAAACGATTTATTTATAAATGAATCAAAAATTTCTAAAACATTTAATACGTATATATCTTCATATACTAAACCATTTCTTTTAGAATTAATACATAATGCATCAAATGACTGTATTTGTTGTCAATAATTTATATTATATTTTAATTATTTTTTAATAATTTAATAATCATAAATATTTTTAAAAAAATGTATTTTGAAATAATAAAAATAATTTAATATATTTTAATTTTTATTTATTTATTTATTATTTAAATATAGTACAAATAATATAAATTTAGTATTTAATCAATATTGTGTAATTATTTAACGATTACTAAATTATTTATATTATCTATTTTTTTAATCGATTAATAAATGTTAACAAATAGAAAATAGAATTAATTAGTACACATGATTTATTTATTGAAATTATATTTATTTATTTATTTTTAAATGTTATTTTTATTCAAATACTGACTGAATACAAATTATTTAACTTAATTATCGTTTTAAGTTTTAGTTATATTAATTATTAAATTGATTTATATAAGTATTTATTGTTTTTATTAACTATTACTAACTATCTTAAATTATCTTTAAATTGTAATATGATTACTTTTTTAAACAAATAGTTAATTTTTTTAGTTTAAAATTTCAATTAAAATAATTTTATTTTTTTTGAGTTATTTTAACTATTTAATTATTTTTAATTAATAATTATTCATTAAAATTTTAAAAACAAACATTTATTAGAGTAACATGTTTTTTAAAAAAAATTTTAGGGATGTGGAGGTCATTTCTACTCGTTTTTAAGTCTCGATCTTAAGGGGCTGTATTTATATATATATATATAGAAATATAAAATATTTAATTTATAATTCTATAATAAAAATTTACTATATTCTGTACTTTATTAATGGTTATTGTTATATATTATTTATTTAATATA